GTCTGCATAACAGTAAATCTTCTATTTTTTTGTGAGAATAAAAATTCAAAGTGGAAAGCAAAAGAATGTACAAGGGGCATGGCGACATGACTAATGAACAGAGGAAATGTTATTTTAGTGCCAGGAATGTCTTTCTTGTTTATTCTGGACCCTATTCGGAAATTGGCATCTTTTGAAATTTGTGTGAAATTGGCAAAATTGCTAAATTCTGACCACTTTATTGGATAGTTGAAATTGGTAAATGGGTGGTTTCTTGTACTCATTCGATAGAAAAAATGGAGTTCTAGCGAAATAGTTATGATTTTTGTTGACTAGTACACTGGAATTGGCCGAAAATAAGCCTCAAAGTGGGCAAAATCGCCGATGCGTAAACATCGTCGAGACCGCTACTTCGCGAGAGCATAATTCCGTAAGTTTTCCATCAAATTTCATACTTTTGGTGTCATTATGATCGGGAAAAAATTCTCTATCTTTTCATAAAAAAATTTTTTTTTTTTTTTTTGAAAATTGGGCGACCCTGACAACAAGTCTGGGAGAGGGCCTGTCGACCCTGAAAGGGTTAAGGGTGTTGATGATGAGCGAAACTTCTGGTGGGTTGGTTGGAGCTAGGAATAGCGTATTTGGGTAGGTACCTATGAGGTAGTCTGATGGACGGGTGTTTGAGCTTGGTATTTTGTTCGCTAGATTTTTTCCTAGGGAGACGAAAACATTGAGTCTCTTTGCTGTTTCAGTTGGTGTGAGTAGGGGTTCGTCTGATTTTATTAATTTGATTGTTTTGTTTTTGGATAACTTTTTAGTTCCAAGAATTTCAGATAAGAGATTTCCAGGTCTTTTTCATATCACCTTTGATGTTATGTAATCCATTTTCATAATACAATTTTTTAGATCTTCTTATCAGGCTGGTAAGAGCTGACGAGTAACGTTTAGACTGTTCTCTAGTTATTTGACCCATTCTATACTGTTTTTCATATTTGTGTTAATGGCTTTGAGGATGCTGGGTGTTAGCCAGGGACTATTTAGTCTCTTTGCTGTGATCTGTTTAGTTTTTGGGGTAATGTTCATTGATCTACCTCCTCAAATACCTTGGGTGGCCAGGATAACACTCCCTACACTGGGTGGCTTGGATAATGCTCCCTACCCTTAGGTGGCCAGGATAACACTGCTACCTGGGTAGCTAGAATAATACTCCCTACCCCAGGGTGGCTAGGATAACACTCCCTACTCTTGGGTGACTAGGATAACACTACCTTGGGTGGCTAGGATAACACTCCCTACTGCTGGGTGGCTAGGATAACACTCCCTACACCTGGGTGGCTATGATAACACTACCCTGGTTGCCTAGGATAACACTCCCAACCTTGGGTGGCTAGGACAAAACTCTCCACCCCAGGGTGGCTAGGATAACACTCCCTACACCTGGGTGGCTAGGATAACACTCCATACCTCTGGGTGGTTAGGACAACACTCTAACCTGACTGGCTAGGATAACACTCCACCCAGGGTAGCTAGGATAACACTACTCTAATTGACTAGGATAACACTCTACCCTGGGTGGCTAGGATAACACTCTACCCTGGGTGCCTAGGATAACACTCCACCCTGGGTGGCTAGGATAACACTCTACCCTGGGTGGCTAGGATAACACACTACCTAGGGTGGCGAGGAAAACACTACCCTGGGTGGCTATTATAAAACTACCATGGGTGGCTAGGATAGCACTACCCTGGGTGGCTAGGATAACACTACCCTGGGAGGGGAGGATAACACTACCCTGGGAGGCTAGGATAACACTCTAACCTGGGTGGCTAGGATAACACTCTACCCTGGGTGGCTAAGATAACACACTACCTAGGGTGGCTAGGAAAACACTCTACCCTGGGTGCCTAGGATAACACTCCACCCTGGGTGGCTAGGATAACACTCTACCCTGTTTACCTGGAGAGAGTTCTGGGGGTCAACGCCCCCGCAGCCCGGTCTGTGACCAGGCCTCCTTATGTCAGTGTCCAGGATGCGACCCACACCAGTCGACTAACACCCAGGTACCCATTTTACTGATGGGGAACATAGACAACAGGTGGAAAGAAACACGTCCAATGTTTCTACTCTGGCTGGGAATCGAACCCAGGCCCTCGCCGTGTGAAGCGAGAGCGTTAACCACCAGGCCACCAGAGCCCCTGGGTGGCTAGGATAACACACTACCTAGGGTGGCAAGGAAAACACTACCCTGGGTGGCTATTATAAAACTACCCTGGGTGGCTAGGATAACACTCTACCCTGGGTGGCTAGGATAACACTACCCTGGGAGGGGAGGATAACACTACCCTGGGAGGGGAGGATAACACTACCCTGGGAGGCTAGGATAACACTCTAACCTGGGTGGCTAGGATAACACTCTACCCTGGGTGGCTAAGATAACACACTACCTAGGGTGGCTAGGAAAACACTACCCTGGGTGGCTAGGATAACACTACCCTGGGTGGCTAGGATAACACTACCCTGGGTGGCTAGGATAACACTACCCTGGGTGGCTAGGATAACACTACCCTGGGTGGCTAGAATAACTTTCTACCCTGGGTGGCTAGGATAACACTCAACCCTGAGTGGCTAGGATAACACTCTACCCTGGGTGGCTAGGATAACTCTACCCTGGGAGTCTACAGTAACACTCTACACTGGGTGGCTAGGGTAACACACTACCCTGGGTGGCTAGGATAACAATCTACCCGGGGTGGCTAGGATAACTACCCTGAGTGGCTAGGATAACACTCTACTCTGGGTGGCCAGGATAACACTCTACCCTGGGTGGCTAGGATAACACACTACCTTGGGTGGCTAGGATAACACACTACCCTGGGTGGCTAGGATAACACACTACCCTGGGTGGATATGAAAACACTACCCTGGGTGGCTAGGATAACACACTACCCTCGGTGGTTAGGATAACACTACCCTGGGTGGCTAGGATAACACTACCCTGGGTGGCTAGGATAACACTCCCGGGTGGCTAGGGTAAACTAAACCTGGTGGCTAGGAAACACTACCCTGGGGGGGTAGGTTAACAACAATTTGGGTTATTTATAACACTACCCCGGGGGGCTTGGATAACCCCACCCTTTTTGGGTAGGATAACACTAACCCGGGTGGCTAGGTTTTAAACCCCTTCCCCCGGGGGGCTAGGGGAAAAAATTCCCGGGTGGCTAATAACACACCCCGGGGACTGGATAAAAAATACCCTGGGTGGCTAGGGTAAAAACTACCCTGGGTGGCTAGGATAACACTACCCTGGGTTGGGGAGGATAAACTACCCTAGGGGGCTAGGATAAAAATTTCCCGGGGGGTTTGGATAACACTACCCTGGGGGGGCTAGGAAAAAAAAATTTTAAAACTTCCCTGGGGGGCTGGATAACACTACCCTGGGTTTCTAGGGTAAACACCTAAACCCCGGTGGCTGGTTTAAAACTACCCCGGGTGGCTAGGATAAAACTTTTCCCCGGGTGGGTAGGTAACATTTCCCCGGGGGCTAGGAAAACACCCACCCCGGGTGCTAGGGTTAAAAACCCTGGGGGGGCTAGGGGTAAATTCCGGGGGGGCTTTGGTTTTAAATACCTTTGGGGGGGTAGGAAAAAACACTAAACCCCGGGTTTGGGTAGGAAAACACTACCTTGGGTGGCTAGGATAACACTACCCTGGGTGAACATTAAAATGGTATAAAATACCGACAGATTGTTAGGTAAGACACATATGCAACATTTTAGGTATCTTTATTTTGAAACGTTTCGCCTACACAGTAGGCTTCTTCAGTCGGAGTACAGAAAAGTTGATAGAAGCAGAAGATACTTGAAGACGATGTAATTCAGTCCATCACCCTTAAAGTTTTGAGGTGGTCAGTCCCTCAGTCTGGAGAAGAGCATTGTTCCGTTGTCTGAAACAATATGAAGTTGAAGTGACAGAATCGGGCCTTATATAGTGCCAGGGAGGTGAGACGTAGGTTGATTTGGGAGGGCAGGTCCTTCTCAAACCCAGCCGTTCTCACTAGTAGAGGTTGTCGAAGTAGAGGGTTTCTGCCCAAAGATCCCCTTGTGTTGCAGTGTCTGACAGAATGAACATTAAAATGGTATAAAATACCGACAGATTGTTAGGAAAGACACATATGCAACAGTTAGGTATCTTTATTTTGAAACGTTTCGCCTACACAGTAGGCTTCTTCAGTCGAGTACAGAAAAGTTGATTAGAAGCAGAAGATACTTGAAGACGATGTAATCAGTCCATCACCCTTAAAGTTTTGAGGTGGTCAGTCCCTCAGTCTGGAGAAGAGCATTGTTCCGTTGTCTGAAACAATATGACACAAGGGTATCTTGGTACAGACCATCTACTTCGACAACCTCTACTAGTGAGAACGGCTGGGTTTGAGAGGACTGCCCTTTCCCAAATCAACCTACGCTCACCTCCTGGCACTTTAAATAAGGCCGATTCTGTCACTTAAAACTTATATTGTTTCGCAAGAAACGGAACATGCTCTTCTCAGACTGAGGGAACTGACCACCTCAAAACTTTAAGGGTGATGGACTGATTACATCGTCTTCAAGTATCTTCTGCTTCTATCAACTTTTCTGTACTCGACTGAAGAAGCCTACTGTGTAGGCGAAACGTTTCAAAATAAAGATACCTAACTGTTGCATATGTGTCTTACCTAACTACCCTGGGTGGCTAGGATAACACCACCTTGGGTGGCTAGGATAACACTACCCTGGGTGGCTAGGATAACACCACCTTGGGTGGCTAGGATAACACTACCCTGGGTGGCTAGGATAACACTACCCTGGGTTGTGTTACATTATCTATCTCAAGTGTTGGATAACATTAAATAGAGAATATAAAAGAGGCAAATGTAAACTTGAGTAAAGGAAGACACAAGCAATGGTACCCAGAGCTAGACATCAACACTGTACCTGGGAAAGTGTCAGCTTCCTGCTGTAAATATTAACACACCTGATACTTACTTTAACAACGAGGAAGAAAGTTTTGTGTTGATGGTCGGCAGTAATGGAGGACAAGTCTCAAAACACGATCAAATAAATATGTCACCGAGGGAACTAAGTCACTCTGTCTGACTTTTATGGGTTATCTTAAGTAATATCTTAAGTAATTCCACATATGCTGCTGTGTGTGATAATTTATGTAACTACTTACTTGTAGTACTTGAATAAATTTTCTTTGTTTGGTTTATAAAGGCCAGTGACAGCGGTAGCTGTAACCTGAGTAAAGTACTCGTTGTTTTAACTTGTTTAACTATCAATATTTTGGGGTTGAGTCCCTGGACCCATTATGTACTCTGTAATCTTTTAGACAACACCAACTCCATTATGGGTATTAGTGACTATACTCTACATGACCAAAATGCTATAGCTGTATACTTTCCAAACTTCCCACCACTACAGATATCAGTACTAAAACTCACACAAACTCAGGATATAAATAACCATAATTAATAACCAAAATATTAAATAACCATAATTTAAACCCTATCTCACCTATGGAATTTGTGCATGGGGCTCAACAACAAGAAACCATCTCAGACCACTATTAACCCAACAAAAGGCTGCAGTTAGAATGATAACACATTCTCACTATAGGCAGCACACTCCCCCAATTTATTCCAATACACTAAACCTACTCAACCATACAAACATCCATACTTACTACTGCACCTATTACATAATAGAACACTTAACTCTGATATTAACCCTCCCCTCAAACATCTCCTTGCCAACCTCAACAGAACACATGACCATAACACAAGGCACAGATCACTTTTTTGATGTTCTCGTGTCCATCTCACACTATGCAAAAACTCAATGCACATAAAAGGCCCTAAAATCTGGAATTCATTCCCTGTAAATAAAAAAGAAAACACTACCTGTTTTAAAATTCAAGTCTCTTCTCAAAGTTCACTTACTCACACGAAAATCACTCACTACGAAAGCAAAAGACTTGGCAGACGATGCACCATCCCCCCAATGAAAAGCAGGGGTGTCACTAGCACGTTAAAGAGACCATACAATAAGTGTCAGGGGACCGAGACTGTTCAACTGCCTCCCAGCACACATAAGGGGGATTTACCAACAGACCCCTGGCAGTCTTCAAGCTGGCACTGGCCGGACAAGCACCTAAAGTCAGTTCCTGATCAGCCGGGCTGGGGCTGTACGTTGGTTTGCGTGCAGCCAGCAGCAACAGCCTGGTTGGTTTCAGGCGCTGATCCACCAGGAGGCTGGTCACAGACCGGGCCCCGCGGGGGCGTTGCCCCCCGAAACTCTCTCAGGTAAACTCCAGGAAAAACTCACTCAAAACCAAATAAATACTGAATAACTGAACCATATAAATTTTTATGTCCTAAATGTTTTTTCAAAATTTAAATTTCACACAAATGTTAACCAAAATTTTTGTTATTTTTTTTTTCAAATACACTACCTGAATGAACAGCAATGATGCAACCTTACCTGGAGTTTACCTGGAAAGAGTTCCGGGGGTCAACGCCCCCGCGGCCCGGTTCTGTGACCAGGCCTCCTGGTGGATCAGAGCCTGATCAACCAGGCTGTTGCTGCTGACTGCACGCAAACCAACGTACGAGCCACAGCCGGGCTGATCAGGAACCGACTTTAGGTGCTTGTCCGTGCCAGCTTGAAGGGTGCCAGGGGTCTGTTGGTAATCCCTCTTATGTGTGCTGGGAGGCAGTTGAACAGTCTCGGGCCCCTGACACTTATTGTATGGTCTCTTAACTGCTAGTGACACCCCTGCTTTTTCATTGGGGGGATGGTGCATCGTTGCCCAAATCTTTTGCTTTGTAGTGAGTGATTTTCGTGTGCAAGTTCGGTACTTTGTCCCCTCTAGATTTTTCCGGGTGTATATAATCATGTATCTCTCCCTCCCGCGTTCCAGGGAATACAGGTTTAGGAACCTCAAGGGGCTCCCAATAATTGAGGTGTTTTATCTCCGTTATGCGCGCCGTTTAAAGTTCTCTACATTTTTTTAGGGCGGGCAATTTCACCTGCCTTGAAAGGTGCGTTAGTGTGCAGCAATATTCCAGCCTAGATAGAACAAGCGACCTGAAGAGTGTCATCATGGCTTGGCCTCCCCCCCTAGTTTTGAAGGTTCTCATTATCCATCCTGTCATTTTTCTAGCAGATCGATTGATACAATGTTATGGTCCTTGAAGGTGAGATCCTCCGACATGATCACTCCAGGTCTTTTTACGTTGGTGTTTCGCTCTATTTTGTGGCCAGAAATTGTTTTGTACTCTTGATTGAAGATTTAATTTCCTCTTGTTTACCATATCTGAGTAATTGAAAATTTCATCCTTGAATTCATATTGTTTTCTGCAGCCCACTGAAGATTTTGGGTTTATGTCCGCCTGGAGCTTTGCTGTGTCTGCAATGGAAGACACTGTTTATGCAGATTCGGGGTGTCCATCTGCAAAGGAAGACACGGTGCTGTGGCTGACCCTCCTTGTCTATGTCGGATATGAGGATGAGGAACAAGATGGGAGCGAGTACTGTGCCTTGTGGAACAGAGCTTTTCACCGTAGCTGCCTCGGACTTTTCTCTGTTGACGACTACTCTCTGTGTTGTTAGTGAGGAAATTATAGATCCATCGACCGATTTTCCCGTTATTCCTTTAGCACGCATTTTGTGCGGGTATTACGCCATGGTCACACTTGTCGAAGGCTTTTGCAAAGTCTGTATATTTACATTGCATTCTTTTTGTCTTCTAGTGCATTTAGGACCCTTTTCGTAGTGATCCAATAGTTGAGACAGACAGGAGCGACCTGTTCTAACCCCTGTTGCCCTGGGTTGTTAACTGATGGGTTTCTAGATGGGTGGTGATTTTTGCTTCTTAGGACCCTTTCAAAGATTTTTATGATATGGGATGTTAGTGCTATTGGTCTGTAGTTCTTTGCTGTTGCTTTACTGCCCCCTTTGTGGAGTGGGGCTATGTCTGTTGTTTTTAGTAACTGTGGGACGACCCCCGTGTCCATGCTCCCTCTCCATAGGATGGAAAAGGCTCGTGATAGGGGCTTCTTGCAGTTCTTGATGAACACAGAGTTCCATGAGTTCCATATGACCTGTCTTTGTAATACTCATTTGTATTTTATAGTTATCTGTTTACATTAATGTCTTATCACTGATTTCATCATTGCTTAGTTAATCTTAAGTTAATTTTAAGCCAGCCCGTAATGCTATGCATAGTATAAGTGGCTTTGGCATACTGCTCTTATCTGTATTTTTTTGTACCTCTGTATGTATGCTAAAATTTATAAATAAATAAAATAAATAAATAAATCACGTTGACCCTAATCTAAACCTCCATAATCTGACACACAATCAAAACCTATTGGAAAGTAACTGCCATTATTTAAGTAAGTAAGTAAGTAAATTTATTCAGGTATACACAAATACAGTTTTATAGAATTATCATACATAGCAGCATATGTGTAGAGAACCTAGGATAACCCAAAAAAGTCAGACTGAGTGACTTATTTCCATTGGAGTCCTTTTACCTTATTATTATAATATAAAGGTTATAATATTTTCTTATTATTCTACAATGAAGATAACATCTTATTATCATACTAAAAAGACTATCTACACACGAGGGGCATTGGGGACTATCTAAAAATACGGGGGTCATAACTGGAATAAGGTAAAATTTACAGAAATTTTAGCAAAAAATAAAAAAATATTCCCCCCCCCTTTTCTGAAACAAACTTTCATCAAAACACTTTTGGCAGTTTTTTTAAACGGGTTTCTTGCTAGGGACTGGCTTTGACATGGTGGGTAGTCTTTTCCATTCCTTATTGCTGTGCAAAAAAAGGTGTTTGACCCCGGGCCCAACGGCTGTGGGTATAAAAAAGTTGTGCCTTTTCCCCTGACTATGATTGTTTGGGCCCCCAAACCCTTGACAAAATTTGGACAGCAAGATATTTGGACACTTTTTCGTGGGGCAATTTTAAATAAACTTTTTTTGCTTCATTTGTTTTACTCTGCCCTTCAACTTTCAGCATATCCAACTCTGAATTCATCCGGGCCCTTCTGTTCTTTTTGGGGCCCCCAACCCCAAGGGAATTTTAAAACGTTTTTTGTTCTGGGTGATTTCCCAGCCCTATCTTTAAAGTTTTTTTGTCAAGGCAGAGCCCAAAGAAAGAAGTGAAATTTCCATATGGCTTTGAAAAAGGGGCTAGACATGGGGTCCGCGAGCCTCGTGGGGAAAAACCACTGTTTTGCCCTATACGGAATTTTCAGTCTGGCTTTTCGCTTTCTTTCTACACGGGTTCCCCTATCAATTCTCCTGACATGCATGGGTCAAAGGGGGTTTCCCAAAAATTTTCCCTGATAAAAACCAAAAGTGATGGACTCTCCATTCACTAAAACTTTAAAAAATTAAATTTCCCCTTTCTCATTTATGTTTCTTTCCCAAGGAGAAGGGCTTCATTTTTCCCCTGGTTTAATTTGATAGTTTGTTGTCAAACCATTTCTGCGGACTCCAGTTCCAGTTTTTAAAACCCTTGGGCAATTTCTTGTGGGTTTTTTCCCTGTCACTAACAAGCACGTCATCTGCAACAGTGGGAGTTTGCACTTGACATGATAGGCATACCCATTGACATAACATAAAGAATAAAAAGGGACCCAAAATACCCCTTGGGGAACTCCACATGTTATCGGCGGGGGTTCTGATTCCGTTTTGTTGATTTGACTATTTGCCCTCCTGTTGCTAAGTAGGCCCTTAAACCAGTCTAGGGAACCATACCGATAGCTTGAATTTTTCTTACATAAAATTGGGGTTTGCCCCAGTATCAAAGGGCCCTTTTGCGGTCAAAGGTTTTAATGGAGTTTACCTGGAGAGATTTTTTGGGGGTAAAACGCCCCCGGGGCCCCGGGGTCTGTGCCCGGGCCCTCCTGGTGGATAAGCCCCTGATAAAACCGGGGCTGTTGCTGCTGGCTGAAAGGGAAAACCCAACGTACGAGCCACAGCCCGGCTGATCGGGAACTGACTTTAGGTGCTTGCCCAGTGCCAGCTTAAGACTGGGGGGGGGTCTGTTGGTACCCCCCCTTAGGGTGTGTGGGAGGAAAGTTGAACAGCCCTAGGCCCCTGACACTTATTGATGGGGTTTTTTAACGGCTAGTGACACCCCTCTTTTTATTGGGGGGGGTGGTGCATCGT